TCCCCGGCATGGCCAGCTACCCCACTGGACATTAGCAAGGCAGCCCCACTCCTCTGAGACAGCCCCACTCCTCTGGGCCCACCCCATGCCACACTGGTAGGCCCTTCATCTGGGTCTGCTGAGCAGTTTCACTGAAGGGTGGAGCTAAAGGGAGAAGGAAACACAAGATGGACTACTACACAAGCCCAGCCCTGGCCCCAGGAAAACATCACAGTCAGAGCCTTCAGTAAGGAGACCCCAACTGCATCACGGAGTTCCAGGCCTCAGTGTGTGTGGCCTCATCTGCCTCAGTTTCCTCATCTGTAAAGCAGGGGAAGTGAGTGCATCCGTGTGGAAGCTCCATGCTCCTCCAGCACCAGCCTGTGGGGTCTGCTTGGTGCCGCTTGTACTCTGCAGCCTTCCTTCCGGGAAGCCCACTGTGGGCCAGGCATTGTCCCGGCCCTGCAGGTACGGGGAAAACACAAACGGTTAAGGCCTGGAGCAGAAAGCACCGTATTCATTAAACAACGAGGCTGGGGCTGAGGAAGCCAGCACAAGAGGAGGCTGGGAAGACTTTGGAGGACAAGCACCTGTAAGACGGGTTCAAGGAGCCAACCAAGGAGCACAACGTATGTGTGTGCTGAGCAGGGTGAAGGGAGCTGCTGGGTTAGCTGCCCCGTACTGCACCCTGGATGACAACCCATTGTTTGGGTTTTCAGCTCCCTCCTTCTCCCCTCTCAAGGCCAGGCCTTATCTTGTCATCTAGACGGCCCCCGGAGCCTCGGAGCCTAGGAGCAGCACCGGCCAGGGCGGGGGCAGGTGCTCACTTAGAGTCTGAACCACATACCAAAACTGCACCAGGAGTGCCCGGAAAAAAATAGAAAATGCTGTCTCCTTCACAAAAGTCTGTTTAAGGTGCTGTTGATGAAGGAGAAAAGGAAGATTTCCCAAGGCACTCTGTTTCCCAGCAGGTACAGGCCCAGAAACCCGAAAGCTTTTTCTCAGAATGCACCCTGCCCCAAGCCAGCTGCCTCAATTCCCGCAACAACCTCTCCTAGCTTCAGATGGGCCCGAGGTTTTAGGGAAATACTGCCCCTTGTGTACGGCTCTCCAACCTGCAAACAATAACAGAAAAAAAAAAAAAAAAAAAAAGGAAAAACCCACCTTTCTTACACTCCTTCCCCACGAGAACCCGATTTTAAATTGTCCTCTGCACTCTGCAGATGAGATCTGATTTCTAAGCATGGTTTCCTTTTTTTTAATGATCCTGAAGGTAATAACAACTTGGGACACAGATGTTAGAGTGGAAAAAGAAGTGTCATGGAGACTCCAGCTCTGTGAGATCATGGGGAGACGCTCAAGTGCCTACTGCAGGAAGGTCACATGTGTGTGTCAGGGGTCCCTTACACACCTGAGCTTTAGTCCCAAGCAGGCCAAATCCAAATAAAACTCCTCCACCCCCTGTTCAGATCCTGGCCCCAGCGCTTCTGACTTCCACCACTTCCCCCAGCAGGTGGTCGGGGGCAGGGGTTGAGGGGCAGCTCAGAATGAACCCCTAATCAAAAGGGAACTACGGGGTACATGCAAGGGTTTCCCATCCAAAGGTCTAGCACTTCACAAGTTTAGAACTAAACATAATCTCCGCAGAAATAGCTACAAGTGGCACAGACATCAAAGGAAGCAAATGGGGAGAAATGGAAACACAGCTTGATAAATGATGTAACTGAAATTGCCCTTTGCAGGGCCCGGCTGGACTCCTGCTCTTCCCTGGTTATGACGATGGTCACCGTGCCCTGGGATCCCCGGAGGGCTGGAGCAGGATTCAGGGTAATATCCCTCCAAAGCCTTTTAGGAAGGTTGAGCCACAGATCCAACTCGAGGTGGTAATTATATATGTTTTAAAAATCCGTTTAACAGAGCAAGCTAATAACTGCATCTGAGAAGCCTTAATTCGTGGCCACCCAGCACCAGCGGCTCCCGTCCTAGCCTTGGAGACTTGGACAAAAAGTTGAAGCACACTCAAGAAATAGCTCAAGGTTAGATTAAAAATCAGAACACCCATGAAGATTAACCTGACTCATTAATATCACTGCCTAACAGGAGACAATTCCTTGGAGGGCAAGGCTTGGGGCTGGGTTTTGTTCTAGGCCTAGGAGCACCTTAATTTGCATTTATATTAAAAAAAAAAAAGGGGGGGGGCGGGGGGAAAACAGAATTAACTGGAAAGGTGCTTTGTTTCCCGTAAATTTGAGCTCTTCTGCTACACAGCTTCTTAGGGCAGAGAGCGGAGGCTCCATCAGCCTTTGTCCAAGAGCGTGGATTCCGTTCCTACTAAGTGTCAGCCACACTGTGCCTGGCAGCTGAAGCCCGCGGGATCTCACCTGGACCCTAAAAGTCAGCCTGTCGGGTGGTTACTGTGAGATATCCCTTCTACAGGTGAGGAAACTGAGGTCAGGAGTGGGGAAATGACCTCCTTATGGTCTTACACTATGGCAGAATTCAGATTCCAAGCCAGGTCTGTGGGTTGCAAGTTGAATGTCTTTCCACAACAGGACAGCTGTATTAGTGTTAGAGCTGTCTTTTATTCACACACGCACACACACACACACATTTGCCCCCCCAACCTTTCTCTCTAGAAAATCAGTGGAAAACCCAAAGAAGGAAGCGAGGAAAATCAGTGAATCCCTCAGACAGATGGCCTCTGTCCCTTATTCATACAAGTCCCACAGCCCCTGAGGCGAAGCCGACACCCTCCATTTGGCTGCACTTCCCTTGACAGCTTCTCTTTGGAGTTCTAACCATTAGAGGCATACACCCAGAACTACCAATCAGAATCAATCACGGAAACACACCTCAGCATGAACTTCATCAGTCTCAACAATGTATGTCTTAAGGAAAACTGGCACATTTCAGGGTTTGCGTTTAACACCAATCCTCTCCTCGATGTTGCAAGCTCAACTCTCAGGATCGGCCAAGCATTTTATGTGCCTGTTTTACTACTGGAAGCCAGTATGCTAACCAATTTCACCTGTCTTCTGTCTTCAACCCTAAAGGCGTGTTTAAGGGGCTTGGGGCTTTCTCCCCTTCCCAGGGCTGTTCAGTTTCAGAGGCATATTTCTTACTCTCCAGCCCTCCAGCAAACAGGCCCCTGTCCCCCAGAATCACTGCCCTGCATCTGCATGCCTCTGCCACAGTTTAAAGCCAAAGATGATGGCAATGACTGACTGGCCCTCTCAGATGCTGGAAACACAGCGTGGGAAGGGAAGGACTCATCTGTGTTTGGGGTGCTGGGCAAAGGGCGTGGGGCAAGCAGGAGCCAGGCTGATTATGTAGATAACAGAAGGACAATTTCCTTCACAAACAGAAAAACCTGCACCAATGAATTAAACATTTAAAACAAAATGACTCTCTAAAAAGTATTTTCAACCAAGAAGGAAAGACAGGCCGTCCTGTGCTGGCGCTTCCTGTTGCATATGGCACTGAGAAATCCTGTTTTTTTCAGCATGCAGAGATTTTCAGACAAAGAAAAATATCAAGGGGGAAATTAGAGGAGGAGGTCCAGAGAAGTGAGACAGGAGAGGCTGGGGAGAAGTCCGGAGAAGGAGGAGACCCCTGCCCAGAGCACAGGGGTATCAAGCCCTGAGGGGTGCAGGAAACAGACCACCCCTGAGCTAACAAACTGGCCTTGAAAGGTCTAAGGAGATGGCCCTAGAGAGGCAGCCTGCCTCACTGGGACAAGCGAACCAGAGACACCACCCTGCCTCCTGCCACGCAGGTTATCCACCTCTCTACCTCTATGGAGGGACCTTCTCCCGCTCCAACAGGTCTCCAAGTATAATGTCTGGGTGTCCCCCCAGCCCCCAGGGAACACTGCCCTCTGGACTCACCAGAGACCCTGCTCTGTGCATAGCGCCCTTGGGTATCCCTGTAGTCTACCAGCTGGACCCCCCTCTCAGGACTGAAGCTCAAGTACCCTGGTTTTCTGGGCAATATCTAGACCGGCCTTTCCCACTGTCACAGCCTAGGGAGTGGGCAGGTTCCGCCCTGCCCCCACTTTCCACCTCTACTGAGAGCAATTGAGGGGCTGCCACCCCCACCCCAAGCACCAGAGAGCAAACTCTCTCCTCCCAGGGGCCTGGGAAGTCCAAGCTTCAGAACTGGAACTCAGGGAGGAAAAAAGGAGCCGGAGGAAGAGAGATGAAATCTGAGCTCAGAGAAGCGTGGAGGGGGGCCCAGGGGATATGGAGGGTCAGTGCCTCCCACCCCCCAGGCGCACTCCCCTGCCACCTGAGTCCCTCTAGGAGCCATGGGTGCCAGGCCAGCCCTCTCCAACTCCCAGAGAGGTAGTAAGTGTAAGGCTCAGAGCCCCGCGCAGCCCAGCCCGCGCCGGGGCGGTGGGTGGGTGGGTGTCTGCTATGGGATTATTCTTAGCGCTCCACTCTCTTCGCAAAAGTGGCGCCTCCGCCCTCCCGGCTCAGGCACACTCGCTCGCTCGGGGCTCACACGCCCGGCCCAGACACCAGCACGCTGGAGATCACCGGGTGGGGTCCCCGAAGGGTGAGGTTCGGAGGCGCCGCAGAGGTGGGGGCTCCCTAGATAGGAGGGGGCGCTGCGGGAAGGACCCCCAGAGAGGCTGCGTTTAACCCTCGACGCCCTGTACCCAACCCTGCGCCGCGCGCTCTGCCGCCTTCCCGGACTCCTAACGGGGCGCGGGAGCCCGGCGGCGCACCCAGCCCTTACCTATGGTGGTGATGACCGTGATGGCAAAGTAGAAGGAGCCGGCGAATTTCCACTGGACGCCGGCGCGGTGCGGCTCGGACTGCAGGATCACCAGCTCCAGCTGCCGGTAGTCCTCGCTGCTGATGTTGTACTTCCCCTTGATCCGGATCTCCTCGGCTTTGAGTTTTTCCTCCTCGCGCATCTCGTGGTCCGACTCCAGGGCGTCGAACACGGCGGCGCCCACCAGCAGGTAGGTGAAGGTGCAGACGATGAGGGACAGAGTCCGCACGTTCTGCCTCTTCATGGCCGCCAGCAAGGAGCCGGCGCGGGGGGCATGTCCCGCAGGCTCACAGCCGCGCGCGTCCCACTGCAGCGCCCGGCGGCCGCCGCCGCCTCCTCCTCCGCCGCCGCCGCCGCCTCCAAGTTGTAAGCGGCGGCGGCAGCAGCAGCAGCAGCAGCGGGGAGGCGGGGGGCGGGGAGGCTGGGGGGGGGCCCCTCCGCTGGGGCCGCCACAGCCACCGCCACCGCGAGGCGGCTGGCGGGGCAGGGGCGGCGCGGGCCCGGGCTCAGCCGAGAAGGCGGACAGGCACAGGAGGCTGCTCGAGCGCCGGGGCCAGGCGTCCGGGAACCCCGACACCCTGCGCCAGACCCGGCCGAAGCAGCCCGCCCCACTGCGCAGGGCCATGCAGGGCGGCCCCGCTGGGTACCGCGCGGGCCTCGCTGCCCTCCGCACCCCGCCCCCCGCTCCCGCGGGAAAAGCAGGGACGGGAACTGGAGCCAGAACGCGGCCGGAGGGCGGCCGCGGGGCCCCGCACCTCTGTGGGTCCAGCTTGCGGGTGGCGGCGCCCAGCAAGAAGCCTGCAGGTCCGCGCGCCCCGCGGGACCTGCTTCCCCTTTTACCCCTCCTCGCCCCCTCTCGGTGATGGGGAGGAAAAGTTTGCGAAGTGGCGGTGTCTCTGGAGTCTCCTGCAAGCCGGGAGGGGGGCGAGCAGGTGCAGCGGGCGGGGCAGCCCGCTTCCCAAAGGTCCAAGAGCCCAGCGCCCACCCGGGCGCGCGGGGGCGCAGCGGGGTCCCTGCCGGGCGTCGGCCGGTGAGCGAAGTTTGCTCGGCTCAACCCCCAAGGCGCGGGAGCCGGGCGCGGCCCCAGGACGGCAGGGACCGCGATGGAGCGGCTTCGGGGGCGGCCTGGGGACGGCGCGGTGGCGGTCGGCCAGCCCGCTCCTCCGGGGGCGGCGGGCGCGGCGGCGGCGGCGGGAGGGGTCCCGCGAGCCTCGCGGAGCAGCCGAGCGGACGCGGGCGCATGAGCCGCGCGGGGGTCGGGGCCCTCCGGCGTCCGGGCGTCCCGGGAGGCGGCCGCTGCGCTGGTCTGCCCCGGGCGCTACGTGCGTGCGCGCCGTTGGGAGCCCGAGTGTGTGTGTGCGCGTGTGTATGTGAGTGTGCGTGTGTGTGTGTGCGCTTGGCAGCCCCGCTCCTGCGGGAGGGCTTCGGGGAGCGGGGGCCGGGCTACTCCGAGGCCGGGCCTCCCTCCCCCTTTCCCTCCCTCAGCCTCCAGGGCGCGCCACCTCCCGCCTGGTCCCCAGCCAGCTGGCGAGGCTGCTGTGACAGCTCCCGCTGCAGACCGAGCGCGGCGCAGGGCGCACGCGGAGGGAGCCCGGGAGGGGCGGCCTGAGCCGCAAGGGAGGGTACGGGGGCGGAGCCGCCGGCCGGTTTTGGCGGGGGATGGGAGGATAAACGAGGCCTCTTGGGTGCTTCTAGCCCGGCTCCCCAAGAGCGCAAGCAGCCCTGGCTGGTGGAGAGTTTGAGGGACTCGCAGTTGGGGGAGGGAAACGGGATTCAGCCGGAGATGGCAGACTGGCAGCTTCAGGCAGATCGTGTGGAGAGTGGGGAGCAGAAGGGGAGGGGGCCATGGCACACTGGAACGCGGCGGCAGCGGTGCATGTGGTCTCCCCACCCCCCGCCCAGCCACCCGAGGCGGGAGCGTGTCGTTGGCCAGGGACATGGCCTAGGGGAGTGGTGGGGTCCCAATGGCTGACTCGGCCCCCTCGCCTCCCAGCGGCACAGCCCGCTAGGCCCAGCACCTGCAGACCTGAGTCGTTTCCCCTGGAGAGCGCTAAGGATAGCATGGGCCGCCACTTTTGGAGTCAGGACAGCAGGGAAAGATATCGCAATCCCCCGACCCAATGCCCTCTCTGTTGCTTTACTGAAAAAAAAAAAAAAAAAAAGGAAGAAAAAAAACCCACCCTGATTCCCCACAGCTGGGCACAAGGTGCGCCCCGGCTGCAGCCCTGAGCCACGCGGTAGCCCCTCTCGGGACCACCTGGGGTAGGAACGCGAGGCTAGGGCCGGGGCGCACCTATTCCTTGCTTCCAGATGAGGCCTCTCCAGGCTTTATCTCCTTCCTATTTCGGCCTCCTCCCTCTCCCCGCCCTCTCCCTTTAGGCTTTCAAGGGTCTTTCCCTTGACCACCAGCTTCCTCAGTCCACCTGGAGCAGTGGAGTTTCAAACGGACAGACCCAAGCCTTAGAGACCCCGGGGCTCCCCTTTCTCTCCTGACTCCAGCCAAGGAAGAGATGGAGATGGGAAAGGGTCGCCTGGCGGCGGGATAGCAGCTGGCTAAGTGGTGGCTGGGGAATCAGACCAAACCCTCGCGCAGCTCGCGGGCTCCAGGAGACCAATCCCCTCTGTGGGTCGCCCCCGGGAGCTGTGCTTGGCCTCCCAGGCCTCAGGGACTCTGGGCCCAGAGGGTCTGGGACCCCAGTGCTTCAACGAGGCTCCCCAGCTGGGACGCTCTGCACCCCACTTCCAGGGCTCGCAGGTGCCCACCAGGGAAGGGGAGCCCGCGCTGTGGGCTACGTCTGAGCCCTAAGGTCCCCGCTGGGTCTGCGGGCGCCCTGGGGCGCAGGAGTAGGGAGCTCCACCCCAAGCAGGCACTCTCCCCAGAATTCATTTTGGAAACCAAGGCCCCCGCGCTCGGCAAGTGAGCCTGGCTGCCGGGTGAGTCACCGCGAGCGGGCGACAAGGATTCCCAGCAGCTGGTAATTAATTGCGCCGTGGCTCAGCCCACGACGGAACCCCAGTCAGGCCTCCCGCCGCCCTGGCAGCCGCGCCACCCCTGAGTCACAGCCGTCGGGCCTCCGCGCGGTCCGGAAGCCGCCTGCCCGCCTCGGCGCCACCAGGGGGCACTGGACTCCGACCCACGGGGCGGCCGCGCAGCCGGCCTCGGTGCGGGGAAGTCCAGGCTGTCCCCGCGGCAGCGCGGCCGGGGGAGGGGCGCGCCGGCAGACGCCGCGCTCTGCAGAGCCACTTCGATTTGGTTTACGGAACTCCATTTGCATACAGCCTTTCAGGAAAGCGCAACCACTGTGTGCGTACTGGAAGGACCTCGGAGACGAATTACTCCAAACCCCTTGTTTTACAGATGGGAAAACTTCCAGCAAGACAGGATCACGTGCCCAGGATCCCACAGTGTTTCCGATGTGGAGCCAGCGCTGGAAGCCTCTCCCTAGCTTCTGTCTAGTGCTCCTTCGAGGACCCTTGCAGCTTTCTGGCCCCAAGCTGAAATGCCTTGACTGACCACCTACCAGCCCCAGGCGCTGGTTCTTCCTCTCCTCCACCCTCAGAAATAGACCCGTGGACTCAGGCCCGCCCAGGCAGTGTCTGAGCCGTGGAAGTGGAGGGTTCCTCGTCCTCCCGTCCACTCCTCCCATGTGCCACCTTCCAAGGTGCGGGACCTGTGGGTGGCATGGAAGCTCTTTGGAGCAGAGCCTGGGGCTCAAACATCTTCCCTGCGTCCCCAGCATCCACCCCCATGGTGTATGCCACATGGCAGCCCAGAGAGTCCGCTGGGGGCAGTGCCTCTGGGTCTGCCACCCTCGAAGCCCCTGTGGGTCTGGGAGTCCCAACTGCAGCCTCACCTGAAGAAGGATGCGGAACTGAGGTGTGGCCAGAGTCCAGAATTCCCCAGGGCCACAGTGATTGGCTGGACTTGAACGTGTGAAGGTCCACCTCAACCAATCAGAGCCCTCCTCTGGGTAGGGCTGTCAGCAGATAGGTGACCTGAGGAGGGAGGCGGGTTCTTCCTGACGTTGAGAACCCGGCTGCAGGCACGTGGCACACACGCAAGGGTGAGCAAGTGCATTCTCTCGTGGGTTTAAGCCACAGTCAGCTGGTCCCAAGTCTGCCCGGTGCTGCTGGTGCCCATGTGCTGTGTTCACAGCTGTTTATGCCCTCCAGCAGCCCCACCCTGGGCCTCCCTTGGACCTGTTTCTGTAAAACAGATGTACCTTATTAGCTAATAAAGAACATCATGGTTTTATAACTCTGTCTGCTTGCCGGTACTTGTTCACTTCGTGCTTTACACATGGTGGGTGTGCCTGCAGCCCCTGTTCTTACCTAGGAAGGCCCAGCAGTTTATCCTGGTCCCACAGTGAGTAAGGGAAGACCCTAGTCCAAGGCCAGTACTTCTTTTGCATCACCGCAGTGTGTCTGGGCCAGGGCAGGCCGTCTGCTCCTCCCGAACATCCTGACTCCTGGGTATGTTCAACGCTTTGCCACATTAATCCCCACATTTTTGAAAACAGGCAGGGGTGCACTCTCATCATACCCATTTTACAGATGGGGAAGTCTAGAGAGGAGAGTGGGGCCATAGGTGGGCTCACTGACCCTGCATACAGCCTGCCCTTTCCTTCACCTCTGCCCAGGGCAGACATTGCTCATTGATCCCAGCACTGTCTTTGGCTGGGGTCTATTACAGCCTGAGAATGTTGAACACAGGGATACACATAAGGCCATTCCTGGACTGTTTCCACTGACCTGTTTCCTTTCAAGGAATGTGAGGCACCAAGGAGTCCAGTGGCTCCAAATCACAGAGGGGAGATGTGATGAGTCTCCCCTTCCTCAGTAGCCTCCCTGCCAGAACTAGAGGTTCCTCACTCTGCTCCTAGCTGATTTCTCAAGGCCAGTGACATTTGCACAGTTGATGGCACAGTTACTATCTTCACTTTAGACCTCCAGCAGTGTCAGATTTCAGAGAAAAGCACTCCCCAAACAGGCAGCCAGGCTCATCCGGGGCTTCCCAGCCTCCTCTTTAGGATGTGGACAAGTGTGTTCTGTAGTTACACAGTTTGAGAAACATTGGGTTAAACAGGCAGATGCAAGACTTCTCAGAGCCTTTGTTCTGCTAACAGGCATGATGACCCCTAAATGGGTATGCTGTGAGCAGTGTCTCCCAGACTCATTTAGCTGCAACACCCAGGTTCCGGGGACCATGCTTTGGGAACTGCTGGCCCAGCCCAGATACCTGGATACAGGGAGGCAGGAGGTCTTGGTTCCGCTTCCGGCTCTGCATAGACAAGCCTTGCACCAGTTCATGTCCTTCGGCCAGCTCACTGGCCCTGCTGCCTGCAGCAGGCATCTCCTTCCCTTCTCCACCTGCCACCAGGGCCACCTTCTGAACAGGCTGACTCTTGCACATCCATGGTGAAAACTGTCTAGGATTCTGTGGGTCAAGGCTAAGCTCAACCTGGTATTCCCATCCTGACAGCTGGCCTCCAATGGCCTCTCTCACCTGGTCCCTGCTCCTCATCTTTTAGGATTCAGCTCTAACGGTGTCTCCTCCAGAAGCTTCCCTGCCCCTGTGGGCTAGACTAGACTCCTGTGTCCCTGCATAGATTCCTGCCAGAATACTTCTATCACAATGACTCATCTGGGGGACTGCCACTCTCCCCCAAGAGGCTGTCAGCTTCTTGGGGGGAGGGGCCACATCTGACCCAACCTGGCCACAAGGGGTCTGCCACACAGTAGGCACACAGTGAATGTTTGATGAAAATGAAAGAGTTGGGTTCAATCACTAGTCACCGCCCCCTGTGAGAGTTCTCACAGGAAGGCAGAAGCAGTTGCAGGAGAGTCAGGGAACACAAGGCTTTGCAGATGGCAGAGATGGTCCAGGCCATGACTGACAGAGCCGCCAAGGTTTAGGCCTTGGCTCTAATGTCTGTGGGTGTCCAATATAGCAAAGAGGGAGGAAAAACAACAAGAAAGACAGATGTGAAGAGAAATAATAAAGCAAAGAGAAAGAGGCTCAAATGGTGGAAAGAGAGGGAAATGAGGCTGGGGGGGTGGGGCCATGGGGAGCTTACTGATCCTGCATACATCCTGTCCTTCCCTCCACCTCTGCCCAGAGCAGACATTGCTAATCTATCCCAGCACTGTCTGGCTGGGGTCTGCTATGGCCTGAGAATCTTGGACACAGGGGTTCACATAAGGCCATTCCTGGACTCAGCCCTGACCTGCTTCCTTTAAAGGCCCCAGCTGAGAAGGCAAAGAAGATTTTAAACCCAACATGAAAGAAGAGAGGAGCCAGGCAGGAGTGGCACAGTGATGGTATATGTGGCACGGAGGAAGAAGGCCCCTGTGTGCTGATGCAGGTGAGTGCCCACGTCTCAGTCACCTGCTGGATATGGAGCCTGAGCTGGAGTGTCCCTACTACAGCTTGAGTCCTCAGGGTAACTCTGTGAGACTACCATTATCATTCCCACTGGCCAGTGTCAGAGCCAAGGCTCTCTGAGCTTACGACAGTCGCTGTGGGAGGGTCCTTGGAAAGGCACTGCCTCTGCAGGGCCAGGAGTTGGAGAAAGCTGTGTCCTTCTTCACCAGCCACAGGCCACGAGGGCTTGGCCAGCACAGCAACCAGAAGACTGAGATGGAACGGAGAGGGTCAGCCCAGCCCCCGGTACACAGTAGGCTCTCAGATAAAACCCGGGCCCCGGTACACAGTAGGCACTTAGATAAAACCCGGGCCCCGGTACACAGCAGGCGCTCAGATAAAACCCGGGCCCCGGTACACAGTAGGCGCTCAGATAAAACCCGGGCCCC